CCTCGCAGCTGCCTCAAGAGGCTGGTCTCTTTGGCTCCAGGATCAAGGGCAGGCACCTGTCCAGCCTGTTTGTGCAATCACTTGGTCTGCCTTGCCATGGCAACCACAGGCAGAACTTGACATCCAATGCATCTAGGGGAGGCTAGTTTCTAAACTGATTGTTTTGAAGGGTCCATGAATGGTGTTGTCAATATCCGTGTGGTTCTTGGCAGAAAGCAAAAGTTTTCCCAGCCCTGACTCAGAGGAGAGTGAGATTCAGAGAGGGATGGATGGGTAGGGAATAGAGGGATATTTGCAAGGGGAAGAAAAAAAAATTCCCAGGAATTCTATGTTGCCCACTCTTCCAGGGCCTTTTCATCTTTCATCATCTTTGAGCTATTTTTATGATACTAATTGTATTTTTACTCTGCATTAATTGGGTGAAATTTAAGAATGTTGGTGAAAGCATTTGGTTAATAAGACCATAAAGGATGACTGAATGTTTTCATTATTTTCTGCACAGCAAAGCTTCCTGTTGGGTAGTGTATAGGCAAGAAGACCTGCTCTGGGAATTAGCACAGCAGTGTATACTCAGTACACTAGAATAGCTATCATTGCCTTGCAATTTTTTCACACTCACCTAGAGTTTCAACTTTCTCATCAAGCAATGTACAGATTTTAAAGTGCTCGCACCAAAGGACAATCTAACCCATAAAACACCCGGAAGTTAGGACTTGTCTAGCCTCAACAATATTGTCTCACCACTATTGCAAGGAAAAAGTAGGGAAAGCTTTTTTTTTTTTCCCTCCAAGGGAACATAAGATGAAAATCCACTTTTCTGAAATTCACAACACTGTCATCTTCTTAAGGAGAATCCAAAGAATCTCCTTTTGGCCAATGGATGCAAGGCACATAGTGTCCTATATACTTACTTTACCCTATCATAAGCCAGTGCTGTGTGGCAGAACAGAATGGGGTTAGGAGCCAGAGCATGGGAGGTTTTGGGCTTCTGGCGCTTGCTGTGTGACCCGAGCCCCTCTACAGCTTTGAGTTTACATGGTCTCCTGCATGAAAGGAGGATGCCAGGGAGTGTTTGCTAAGGTTAAGACCTGATGCTTGCAAAACGCTTGGCAGCAGCTTTGCACTCAGGAACCAGTTAGTAACTGGTGGCTGACTACTTCCTTGTCTTGATTTGATTTATGTACAAGTATCCCCTCCTATACTACCTGGAAGAGACTGTCACCTTACAGTCAGGCCCATCAGCTAACACTGTTAGCAGTGCAAGGAGCTCTTGTCAATACAAATGCAGGTGAATTGTGGCCAGTGGCGAGGGGATTGGTGATTTCCCAAAGGTTCTCGGCTCACACTGTCTCTATTTGTAGTTCCCATTGGCATTGCTGCTAACCTGTGTGTGTGTGAGTGTGTGTGTGTGTGCGTGCATGTTCTCCAATTGTACATGACCTTCAGGCTGATGGTTCCCTCCTTAGAGGATGAGTTAAACAAAGTATGGGCCCTGGTTCCTGCTGGATTTATCTTTGTTTTGTGCTGATGTAACGGAGTACCACAAATTGAGTCATTGGTAAAGAACAGAAATGTCCTGGTTCATAGCTTTGGGGGCTGGGCGGTCTGAGACTGGGGAGCGCCCTCTTGCTGAAAAACCCACGGTGGAGGGCAAAGAGAGTCTGAGAGAGAGAGAGAGAGGGAGAAGGGGGACGAGGGGAGAGAGAGAGAGAGAGAGGGAATATCTTCCTTCAGTGGTTCACTCTCTCTAAATGGCTGCAATGGTCAGGGCTGGGCCAAGCTAAAGCCGTGAGTGTGGAATTCCACTTAGGTCTCCCGCATGGGTGACAGGGACCATCTTACGGTGCCTTCTACCCATGGTGACAGGGAGAATCCACAAGGTGGATTGAAAGTGGAGCTTCTGGGACTCATATGGGTACACATGTGGATGTTGTTGTCACAGGTGGTGGCATAACCCTCTGTGTCACCCTACTGGTCCCAAGATCCCATATCCTAACACTGTTACGTGGTAATTAAGTATGTGGTGCACACACACACACACACACACACACACACACACTTAAGGGGACACACCAAAACTGCAGCTTGAGGTTTATGTGTGATGAGGCCACTGTTTCTGTTCACATGTTAGAAAAAGTTGTCCTTGAATTTCTCCCCAGCTCTCGTCCTCCCAGCTAGAGTACAAATCTGTCAGGAACGCTGACAAAGATTCTTTATGGATCTTGTTTTTGAGTCTCAGAGCTCTTTGAAAAGCTGATAGAGGCAATGACCTTGCTCCCTGGGAGAAAGAAACATATACATGGATACACACACAGACACACACACAAATACACAGACACACATAAATACACACAGAGACACACACTAATACACATAGAGACACACATAAACACACAGAAACATACAAACAACAGAGACACATACACAGAAATACACAGACACACATACAGATATAGACCTTTAGGCACACACAGAGACACACAAAGATTATACAAACACACACTTACACACATGAAGATATGCACACGAACACACAGACAGAGATACACACAGGCACACATAAACACAGACATATAGATACACACAGACTCACAGGTGCACACAGATCCACATACTTGCTTTTCCTGATGTCCCTGCCAGTTCCTTCCCTCCCCGTAGGCATGCTGAGAAGCTTCGGGACCAGATCTTGGTCCATGGAAAGAGGCGCAAGGCAGATCAGGAAAATGGGTTTGTTCTTCCCATGTATGGAGTTTGCCACGTGGTAAAGGTGGTGGTTCATGTCCTGGGAGCCCTGAGAGGCATCATGAAATTCTGTGGGGACACGGGTGGTAGGCGGACAGGACACTGGCACAAGGTGATACAGCTGGTGAGAGCACTAAAGTGTCCCCTGCCACAAAGACACAAGTGTAAGACAGAAGGAATAGGATTGTTCTTGTGAAGAATGGGACACAGAATCCATAGGTACTTCCATGGTGTGGCTGAGACATCTGGTCCCCTAGGCCTCCCATGAGCATGTAAAACCACTTCCAGCAGGAGCCAGCGGGGAGGTGGGCATGAGAGGTGGGTAGGTTGCAGCAGGGAATGCCAGGGGATGCCTGGACTGTGTGTTGAAGGAGGCAGTGAATTTCCAGGGCAATGGGATCACAGCCAAGGGCTAGGTTAGATGAGACACATACAATGGTTGCTGGGGGGGACTGAGAAAGATGGAGCTTTGGAAGGGACATTCTTTCTCCTGCGATGCTATGGCATTTGAAAATACACCCCCCCAGCCTACACTGTTGGCCTAGCAAAGACCCCTGTAGGAAGAAGAGGGAATGATCCCGGAGGTGACTATATTTGAACCTGAGCTGTCAGAAGAGTCGGACAACACTAGACATCACTAGAACCAGCTTTTGGCCAACAACCTGGGTAGTCAGCCCAGTGCTAGCAAAACTTTACAAGGGACTCTTTGTATGTAAAATGGGTACCTGCTGTCCAAGCTGTGAGCTGCCTCCCTTTGCTTGTGGACTGGCATTTTTTTGCCCTCAGCTCCCAGCCATTGGCTTTCTCCCAGAGTTGGTGGTAACACCATGCGCTGGCTCCATGGAACTGGGCGTTTTTAGGTTTGTAGGTGGGTGCATTCACGCTGTGTGGGTGGTAGTTTGTGGTTCTGGCCTATTTCCTGCCCTAGGTCAGAGAGATCCTTGTGACTTCAAGTACAAATGAGCAAACTGAGGCCCGGGAAGGTTAAAGGGTGAGGCAGCACAGCCAATTCGAGAGTGGGCTTCCCAAACCCTTGGCCAATGCTGGGGTAGGGCAGGGGCCCAGGCAGGTAGCACTTCGGGCTCTGGGGAGGATTTCTAGGACTCACTTCAGACTGGTACCTGGATGCCAGTCCTCCATGCCAGCATGGGGAGCAGGTCCCATGCTCTCTCAGCAGGCACAAGTGTTCTTGTACAGAGGCAACATGGCGGCTGGCCTCAGAGCCACCTCTTTCCCGGTAGAATTTGGGATGACTGCATTCCCTCACAGCAGGTCAGCTCTATGACTGGCAGAAAACTCCTCCTATGGAAGCCTCCTGGTTATTCTGTGAGTTGGGAATCTTTACTCCTGTCTTACAGTTAGCTAAACTGAGGCTCTCACAGGCCATGTGGTTTTCCCACAAAGAACAAAGAAATGGCAGGAAATTTTCCAGGGTAGAGTAAGGCTGGCATTCTAGATCTGGCCCTCCACACATCCTGGGAAGGTCAACTTTGAGAAGGAGTTTCCTCTTTTCTTTCTTACCTGAAACAACAGCCTGCTTTCCCACTGGAGCAGAGTAACCAGACACTAACTCCAGGGATACGTTGAAAAAACAATCCTTTATTGCTCTCCCACTTGGGGATGCTCAGATCCCTGCCGTGTTAGACATGGCAATGGCAGACACCAAATGATGGTTTTGCTAGCCAGGAAGGTGAGCATCACCTGGATAGAACCTGAACTGTTCAGCTCAGTGTCCAGCTTCATAGATATGGCGATCAGCAGGTGCTGCATGCGTGCATTGTGAATGCATACACACGGTGTCTCCTACACCTCAATAACCACCACAGCTCGTCTCACCATGTGGAGGTCAGAAGAGTCGGCAGAAATCACTCTGTCCAACAGTCTCACATTACAGATGAAGTCCAAAGGGGACGAGTGACCAGCCCGAGGTCCCACAGCAAGGTTGTGGACTCATGGGCACATGGAGATGGTCTCCCCGTTCCAGGGTTCATCTTGAGGTCCCCACCAGTCTTTCTGCAGAGCCACAGGAGCCACTTGGGCCAGTCATGTGAGCGTTTCCTGTGTGCCTTGCTGCCCAGTTCACTGTGGCGTTTCAGCAGACATGCTCAGAGGGCAGTGGGGGTGTCTTTGGATGGTGACATCCATTCTGTCTCCGGATCCAGGGCACCCTCTGCCACTTGCTTTTCCCCAGCGAAGGAGCATGGCTTGATTGGAGAGGGTGTGTCCCGTCCCTATGTGAAAGAGGCACAGATGCTGCCTCAGGTCGGGTGTGGAGGTGGGAGGAAGTGCAAGGCAGGATCGCAGCTCTGCTGGAGGGGAGGGCACACCAGGGGCTGCGTCTCCCATGGGTGCCGTGGGAGGACAGCGATCTGAGTAGGGAACCACGGCGTGGCAGGCTGCTCTTGGGCCAGTAGATAATGCCCCATGGGGAGAGCCAGCCTGGGCAGAGCAGCAGGTATCAGCAGTGGGCCCTGTCATGGGAGAGGCCAGGAAGGATAAATGAGTTTTAAATACTACGCTGGGCTGTCCCTGTAGCTCGCCAGCCTCTCCCGGATGAACTGAGCAGCTCGGTGGAGAGGCTTGCATGGCCACTTTGTCTGACTCAGTCAAGCTAGGGTTAGCCCCGAGAGCCCTGTGTGGACCCACACAAGGCCAGACAGCTGCTCTTCTTGGGTGGGGAGAAGCTCATGGCTGGGGGCCGCAAGCCTAGTTCTAATCCCAGCACTCAGAGCAGCGGTTGGGGGTGGAACAGTCACGTTGCCTCTCTGAGCCCATTTCTGCATCAGCCAAAGGGAATGAATGAGAAGTTCAGCCCACAGCCTTGCCTGGAATGGTGTTCCCCTCTGCTCACATCCCTTCCCCAGGCAGGGCTGCCTGTGCTGTTAACTGTTTCACTTATGGCATTTAGCACCTGCTGTGTGCCTGAGAATGTGTGTGGGCGCCAGGTGCAGTTAATATTTGGGAATTGCTTCCTAGGTGGCAAGCATTCTCTAGGCCTCGCTGGCTGTACCTTCAGCCCTTCAGTGGGCTCCGTCACTGTCCTTGGAAGGACCAGGTGACCATGCTGGGCTACATGGAGGGTAAGTTTGGGGCTGGGATGCTAATCTTGGTAGTCTTGCTCCCCCATCCATGCTCTCAAAACCATGCCTCATGTCTGGTTCTGTGACCATCTTTGTAGATGGTGACAGTGGCACTGTGGTACAAGCCACTCATCAAGGAGTGAGTGCGCTGTGATTACCACTGGGTGGGCATGGGGACAGAGGGCCACCTGCTTGTGGCAAGTCCCAGGCTTTTGGGATCCTCTTTGCCTCTGTGCTGTTTCTAGAATTTCCTTTGCACTCTTCTCTGGGGATGTAACCCTGGGAGGTTTCCTTGGGTCGGCCTGGGATGTTCCTGAACGGTTCCTCTCCCCTTTCTACTCCCCCCAGTGGGCACCATGACACTCACGGCCACGTTCAGATGTGCAGGCGGGGCCAAGTCTGTCTCGCTCAGCGTTTGTGCAGTGCTGAGGCCGCCCACCTTCTCTTGCTTCCGCCACTTGGCTCGCTGGTTCTGGAACCAGATCTGCGGTTGGGGGTGGGGGGAGGGGGTGTGGAGAGGCGTTAGTGAAGAAGCTCCTTGGCACCCAGACTTTCTTTGGATCTGAAAGCTAGCTTTCTGAGAGAGGCCCAAGATTACAGCCTTTAGCCTATCGGGCTGGAGGACCGTGCCTTTATGGAACACTGGTGGCGGGGGCAGTTTGAGGAGGGGGTATGTGGTGGGCAGAATCTGCAGGGAGAGGTGTCCCACCTTCCTCCAAGACTCACCATGTGGAAATGTAAGCTCACTGTTGTGGCGGGCTCACCTGATTTCAAGGTAAAAATTTTGGACTTGACTGTGAAAACCTCTGTGTAGACCAGATAAGCCACACCTGAGGGCTGGTAACCAGTTAGCAACCCCTGGGGTCCACCTGGCATTTCCGCTACTTGTCAGTGTTCTTGAGTTCCCTGATGGCTGTTTGCAGGTGGTAATGCTGTTGAATGTTGAATCCTGGATCGACACAGGTGCTCCCACTTAGCTGGGGCCTGCTTCCCAGAGGGAAGCGGGAGAGGGGCGGTCTGAGCTGGGGGTTGGCGGGAACCTCTCACCAGAAGGCAAGGAGGTTGCATGGAGGTCAAGAGTGGAGGTCTGGCTAGGCTGTGGTTCACAGTTTGGATTAGAGTGAGATCTTCGCTTTTGTTTCAAGGAGAAAAATGGAGAGAGACTGAGCAAGCTGAGGGAGTGCCCCCCTGGGGCCACAGCCAGATCTGATGGAACTCTATTTGCTAGTGTTGGTACTTGTAACACTGGGGACATGTCAAGAGGACCTGTGGATGTGCCTCTGTGTGTGAGTGACCAGGGCAGCAACAGACACCTGGGGTGAAGAGGTGGCAGGTGGTAGACTGGTTTCTCGCTGCTTCCACGGGGGCTTGGATCATGGATCTGGGGTTCTCTGCACGTCTCTGTGGTTGGATGTCTGCGCCTGCAGGCCAGTTCTGACCTTCCACTTGGTTTGGAATGGCCTGTGAGCCGAGAATGGTTTTCCCATTAACCAATGGTTGGAAAGAATTAAAACAACAACAGTGTCTTGTAGTACTGGCAAACTACTTAAAGCTCCAATTTCTGAATGTGCAAAAAAATTTTTTTATTGAAACACCAGCTCGTGCTTATGTATTGCCCTGTTGTCTGGGCTTGCCCTGGCATTCCTGTGGCAGCTGTGAAGCCAAAGATTGTCTCCATCTGGCCCTTTGGCCCTTTATGGTATAGGTTTGTCACTCCGGTCTAGATGGCAAAGACCTGCTGTGTGAGTGGGGCAGTGTGAGGGATGCTCTGATGTCGAAGGGAGGAAGGGACAGAGCACGGAGGCAGAATCTTGACACTACCTTGCCCCATTTCCACCTGCAAAGGAGCCACCTTGTGACCACAGGCCTGGGAAAGCAGTACTTGGGCCAAGAGAGCTACACTCCTGGGATTAAGCCAATGGAACATGTTAGGGAAGCCCCAGAGCGCCCAGGGTGCAGGGCATCCGGCAGCAGTCCCAAGTGTTTTGGGGCTGGGAGCAGAGTGGAGGTGGCCGTACCTGCACCCGGGCTTCCGGGAGGTTGATCCGGGCAGCCAGCTGGTTGCGGACATGGATGTCAGGGTAGTGGGTGAAGTGGAAGATCTTCTCCAGCTCCCGGAGCTGCTCTGTGGTGAAGGTGGTGCGCACCCTCCGTCTGCTCTTCCTCTCTTCTGCACGAGACAAGGGCAGGGCAGGTCAGTGGATTTGGTGCCGGTGCCTTGGGGCGGCTGCTGTGCTGTCATGTTCTAGAATCTTGACCCCTAACCCCTGACTGCTGGGGCTTTGAAACAGCCTGCTTGCTAAAATGCCCTGCCTCTTGGCTGATGCCCTCCCACCTACCCTGGCCTGGGAAGGCCAAGTGAATCCTGTGAATTCCTTTCTGTTTGTGCGTCTCCATTGCTCAGGAGTCTTCCATGGATTCCCCCTTGTCCCAGGAGAGGCTACATGATTGGGCACTAGTTATAGATATTATAGATATTGCTTCACTAAGTTATACCATGTACAGGATACCATTCTCCATGTTCTCCACATTCTGCTCCTTATGAATCTTACTTTTGTGATAGCAAACTCTGTTTTCAAGAAAAATAGCATATTTGAAGCAAATTTGGCTGAATATTAAAAATTGTTCAATATTAAAGTCTGGTGTGGCATAGTGCATTAAGCCACCACCTGTGACGTGTCATAGTGGGTTAAGCTTCATGGTGGAGGACAGACAGCACTGTTTTGGCTGCTTTGCTTCAGAAATAGCTCCCTGGTACTGTGCCTGGGAAGGCAGTGGATGGCAGCTCAAGGACTGAGGTCTCAGCCCATCCATGTCGGAGATTCAGATGGAGTTCTAGGCACCTGTTTTGAGCCAGGCCTACATCTGACCATTGTGGCCATTTAGGGAGTAAACCAGCAGATGCAAACATCCTGTTACTCTGCCTTTCAAACAGATGAAATAAATCTCTAAAAATTTTAAAATTAAAAATCAAGCTTTTAAAAAAAGATAATGATAAACAAAGGCCTGTGGACTAACATGGCCCACTGTCTATTTTCAAATAAAGTTTATTTAGAACACAATTCTACCCATTGTTGTGTATATTGTCTCTGCTTTGAAACTAGAGCAGCAAAGTTGGGTGTGTTTATTATGAGTCTTTATGTCATTGGACATTACTGATATCTGCTTTTGGACATCTGAACTCTGGGCCCCAGTCTCCCCATCTATAGAATGGAGTAGAAGGAAGGGGTTGAAGGATCAAGTGGCTAGGTCCAAGCTCAGCCTGATGTTTCATGATGAGGGAGACTGAGGGACATAAAAGTCTTGCATTGGTCTTTCCTGGAGGGCCTTGGGAAAAGGGAGAGGGTCAGGGATGGCAGACTTTTCTCTTAGGAACCAGCCAGGCTTAGTTACCTCTGTCATAAGGTTTCAGAGTTAGCATTTGGTCTCATACCTTGTCTTTTAATACCAGGTGCACACTCATGGGGAGATGGAGGCTGATCCCAGTGGACCAGTTTGCCCTCTCTTTGGCTGGGTGGCAGGTTCCTGAGTGACCACAGTCAACACTGGTAGTTTTCATCTAATATTTCTTGGGATGTTATTCCAGACCTAGCATCTCCAAATCAGAGAAATAGGACCAGGAGTAGTGGGAAGAGGGACCCTGGAGCTGAGCTCACTCCTGGTGGGTCGGGCCTCCTGTCTTACAAATGGAGGGACTCAACTTGAAAGCCAAGGCAGTTTTGGGAGAAAAAGACTTGAATCTGTAGTCAGCAAAAAAGGAGATTGGGATCCAAGGCCAGATCTTGGGACAGGGTTAACTTGTTAGAGCTGTCCACTTATGGTAGCTGCTGGCCACGTGTGGCTATTTAGGCACACTATTACTATTCAGAGCTCAACAGGTGCACTTGTCTGGTGGCTACCACACTGGATACTGTACCTATAGAACATTTTCTGAGGCTGATGATGAGGGGAAGCAAGCTAATGCTCCTATATGGGGTTGCTGGTTTGTATCCTGACTCTTTCACTCCTGATGCAGCTCCTTGCTACTGGGAAAGCAGTGGAGGCTGTCTCAAGGCCTGGGGTCCCTGCATTCAGGTGGATGACCCAGAAGAATCTTCTGGTCTGGCTCCCAGTCTCAGACTGGCCCAACTCTGGGCATTCCAGCCATTTGGGGAGTAAACCACTGGATGGAAGATTCTCTTGTGATCTCTGTAACTGCCTTTTAAGTAAAATAAATACACCCTAAAGGGAAAGAACACTTCCTTTATTGCAGAATATTCTTTTGGCCAGAGTTACTTTAGATTGATTCTTGTTGGGTTTTTGGAAGACCAGAGGAGGAGTTGACCCTCACTTCTCTTTTGTGGAGAAAGAGGACATCAGCGCAGGTGATGGTACTCAGGGCCCTGGCTGGTTAACCCAGAGCAGAGTCAATCTAATGGTGGCAACCCAGGCAGGATGGTGCTGCTGGTGGTGTGAGAGCGGTGATAAAGGGGATGGTACAGGAAGGAGAAGTCACCACTTTCCCACTACAGGCAGGAGCAGGCTTCCAGTGGTGAGGAAGGCTCATGCTGGGGTTACAGAATGGGGGCTTCCCGAGAAACAAGGCAGGTGACTGGAAAACAGGGAAGAAAGTGGAACTCAGCGTGTGTAGAATTAGATCCAGAAGGGCACTCTTTAGACAAGAGATTGGAAAGGGATGTCGGGCCCCATTCTCTAAGAGAAACATGTTGCAAGGCATCTTGATCAGGAGGGAGAAAAGACTTGGGGTTCTGTAAGGGCCCAATGTCTCCCAATTGCTCCCAGAGAAACCGAGAAGCAAGGGTCGCAGCCCAGCCCACCCATCATGGCTGACCAAGGGCATCTGGGAAATGGGCAAATGGGAGCTCCCGGGAGACGGGAATGGAGGCGGCAGGGAAGTGCCACCATCCCAAGCTGCTCTTCTTCTTGTTATTAATTGTGTGACCATGAACCACACTTCAGTGGGTCTTCAAAGAGAACGAGTCAGCAGAACTTAATTACACCTGAGCCGTTTAGCACATTGATCATAAGAAATACACAATTTACACAGGTGATTAGGCCACCTAATTATAGAGCCATGTTTTTCTGTGCTCGACTCCCCCCTGAGTACCCCTTCTCTGAGGTCTGCTAATTGGTCCTGGCTGTACAACTGGAGGCTGCTGGTGGGGAGGGTGGGTGGCTTTGCCATGCAGTGAAGTTTCTGGAAGTGGGTTTTGTCCTTTTCGGCCAAAGGCAGTGTGCTTGCCCTGTGGGAGGGCAGCATCTGTAGCCCTCTGGCCAGCTCAGGACACAGAAGGATGAGGCGTGGGTCAGCCATCTTCCTAAGTGACCCATACTGGTCTGTTCTCTCTAGCCAGGCCGTGGGCATCCATGGCTCCTTTCTGCCCTCAGGGATTATGGCAAGCTCCCAGGCATGGCATTCAAGGTTCTTTGCATTCTACATTCCTGACATTATCTGCCTTCTTTCCAGTCCTTAGTTCTGAGATCTCTGAGCTCATCTCTGGGTCCCCCATTGGTCATGGCCTTTGATCCCACGGGTGCTGTGCCTCCTGCTCTGTGAGTCTGGGATGCACTGCCCACTTCCTTGTCTAGTGAATATCTTTCCAGCTGTCGAAGTTCACGTCGTCTCAAATCTCATCTTCTTCCCCAGCTTTTCTGGCCACCTCCTACTAGATACCATAAGTGTCTTTGTTTTAAGAAGTTTAAGTAGAGGGTGACACAGTATAGCTTGCAGCTATCCAGCCTCCATACTTATAAACAAAGAGCAGGAGTCTTCCAGTTTTTAATCTATCCATCCACCTATCATATATCTATCAAAATATTAATAGCAATTATTACTGGATGGTGAGATGGAGTTATGGTTTCTTTGATCTTGTTTAGCTTGCTTTTTTTTCTCTGTAATAGGCACAGATTTTTTTTTTTTTTTTTTTTTTAGTGTAAGGACAAAAGGCAAAAAGGAAACAATAGGGTGAAAAGGTATGAGAATGAAAAATCAGTAACAGAGACCATTGAGACCAGGGAAGAGTCACCGACGCAGGCCTTGCCGAGCGTGCTCAGCCCTCCCCCAAGGCAGGCTGAGGCTGGCTGGCTCCCACATCTCCACTCCATCATGTGTTGTATGCACTTTAGAATTTTTCTTTCACTCTTTTTTAAAAAATTAAAGCAACTGTGCCTTTTGTTTAAAGAAAATCATAGGGGCTCCATGCAAGGCAAATAGCTCCCTCACAGAGCTGTGTAGGGAGCCCACTGACTCGTGTCCCCAACTTCCTATGGCATCTCTGACCAGGCACCCCGGGGAGGCACAGGTTTTCCAAGTGTTCAAGTTCATCTGCAAGAGCCAAGGCTGTTTGTCTTGGCACCCATGGCCTTTGGTCTCCCTTCTTTATCTTGTCGTCCATGCTTTGCCCCATACTTGGAGACTCAAGATTTTGTTGTTTCTCAAGAGGAATGTTCCTTTGAATCCCTTGGGGTTGCCATACAACCTTCCTGAGTCAGGACTACCTCCACCCCCCCGATCCCCTTCTATGCCTGACTCCATCTGAAATGGCACTTGTTCCCTGAAGTCTTCCTTGATGGCTTACCCTGTAAGTGTCCTGATACATTTGGTCAGCTGTCTGGATTGTGTTTGTGTTGTGACAATATGACTGTCACTACAGTGTGGCTAGGTCTGGTGAGTCTAAAACATGCAGAGTGGGCGTGGGTTATTTGGACAGAGTAGCACCGGGCTAATGTCACGTGCTCTGACAGTGTGACCCCATCACACTCACAGTCACAACTCTTCTCCTATAAGGAAGCTGGGTCCTGTGCATGTGTGCTGGCTCCAACGTGCTGATTGGCCGTGAGAGGCAGTTGAGACACTGTGCAGACAGAAGCAGCTGGAGGGACGCAATGACATGCCTGCTTGGGGTCCTGTGACGGATGGGGACTGCACATGCTCCTGCTAGTCCTGTGGCTTCATTTAGGAAATGACTTCTTAGTCCTCTCAGCGGTTCCTTACTCTCCCAGCTGATCTCAGACAGGCTTGTACATGGGAGGCAAAGAATTGTCAACAATATTGGCCATCCCAAAGAGACAAATCTATGTTCTCTCTGATTTCAGGCAACCTTCATGCAAAATACAAGATCAATAGATATATAGGTAAACATACGTGTACATATAGTTATCTAGAGGAAC